AGTATCTCAAAATAATGACTTTGTGAGACTAAGTCAATCTTTTAATAAAGTTGTATTATAACGACTCACAGAATCAGTTTTTTTCTCACATCGGCTGAAATGAGCTTCCATAAATATCATCCGGAGCTTATTTTTATCCCACAGCTGGAGTCGTGTGTGTAGGTTTCATTTTGACTTTGCCAGGAGGGACACACTCCTGCCCGCCAGGCTTCCCTCTGATTGTTTTCACACAGTAAATAGGTCTGTTGCCCCAAACGCTCAAATTCGGCAAATCGAATCACACGCTGTTGTTCCTCAGCGACAGGTGAAAGGCAGCCTGCAGGAAACACTTGCAGCAGAGAGTCGGCCTCAGTGGGGGAAGGAGGTGTTGTCATGTGTTTTTATGGTTGGCTGCAGTCCTTTAATGATAGGGCCTCCGCACACTGGCTCTGTTGTCTCTGCTGCAATTATAGGTTTAAAATTCAGCTTTTTTCTCAGCAGTGATGCAATAAAGGTGGTTGAAAGTTATGATGTCAGTGTTTTTGGGGGCCATTTTTGTGTTTAATTTCATAGTAAACAACCATAATGTCATTGAGAATGGTGATTTTGTTTCAGTATCTTATTGATCGCACTGTTGGTACTTCGTAGAACATCTCGCCAAAGGACTGCAGTTGACAGTTAGCTAGCTGGCTGACATTTACAGAAGAATGTCCTTATAAATCAAGAAAATCAACCACAGAAGGTTGTTTTATTAAATAAATAAATATTTTTTAAGAGGCCAGTGTTTGGTTTGTCTGGTCTGGGCTACTGTAGAAACATGGCGGTTTAACATGGCGGACTCCGACAGATGTTACACACTGGACGTTTGGTACATGGTATCTTAAAATATTGACTTAATATCTCAAAATATATTATAATTTCTCATTATTTTGAGAAGGTTTCTCATAATGACTCACAGAATTGTTTTTGTATGTCACATTGGCACAAATGGGCTTCCATACACTCGCATTTAGTGCGTTGCTCGAAGAGTCACATCTCTGACTAAACAAATTAGTAGCGCGGTGATGAAGGGCTCCAAACAACCATAATCACAACCTCTAGGGAAATATGCAGCAGGCCGAGTCCAGGGAGAACCGAGTGCATCCGGGGGGAATTTTTATTAGAGAGCGCCAACCGTCCTGCTCCACTGAACGAGAGTAAGTCTGAATCATAACCAGAGAATAAGGTCAGATCAGGATCAAATCCTTAAAGCTGCAATGATGGGACCTACAAATAGAAACAAACCGCTGCATGATTGAATCCAAAGGCTGCGTTTATGTTTGAGGTAATATTCAAAAGTGCAGATGTGGAGGGTGCTGGGAAATATCTGAGAGCTGGCTCTTGTGTCCCTCATGGACCATGATACTGACCGGATTACATAATCAGATTACAACTATAATCAACCCAGATTACATTTAAAACATACAAACATTCTCTACTCACATAGAAATAAAGGTACTTACAGTAAATATGAAAGTAAAAAGCTCTGAAGGACGTTTCTACCGGCTGTTTCTGTGCAAAACTAACTGAAATTTAATTAAGGTTGAGTCTCTGATGCAGAAAATAATAATAATTCATTAAAACTGAAGAATGTAAGCAGGAGAAAGTGCAGATATCTGTCGGGAGTAAAAGTAAAAAGTTATGAAATAAATACTAAAGCTAGATAAAATACAGTAACAAAGTGTTTGTACCTCTGAAATGTGTAATGACATTGTCAAATATTACTTGATTACATCTTTAAAATATGGAAGTTTTATAGAGAAGAAGAAAGAACCAACTATCATAACCAACACTTTATTAACAGGGATAGATCTCCATATTTTGGCCTTTTCCACCAACGGAACTGACTCTGTTCGAGCTCCTTTTAAATCGTTCGGAAACTAGTTCAGAACCAAAAAATATTCCTTGATTACAACAGTTCTGCTCAAACACTGGTGGAAACGCGGTTCAACGGTTTTAAGAACCATAAATATCTCAAAATAATGACTTAAAATAATGACTTAATATCTTAAATAATGACTTAATATTTTAAAGAAATGAGTAATTGTTTCAAAATAATGACTTAATATATCAAAATAATGAGAAACTTTATCAGTATATTGTATTTTAAAATATTGACTTTGAGATATTAAGTCAATATTTGGAGAAAGACTTACAGAATCTTTATTATAAGTAACAATACAATA